AATTCTGTGCTAAATATCCAATAGTGTGGAGTTGCTCTTCCGAAATTTGGTATGCTAATGAGCACATGTTTCAGAATAGCCAAGAAAATGCGTCTGAAACGCTGATTCATCTTCATGGAAAACCGAAGGAGGAGAAGAAACGACCACGAGCTCATGCGTCAATGATCCAGGTCGGCATTTGTCCTTTTCTGGTCTTTTGTTTATGGCCATAGCTTGTGGTGGTCAGAATAGGAACATTTTATATTAACAAGGTCCAAATGGTGCACTGAAAGAGTAGTTCAAAGGCGCACTCCACACAGTTCGTGTGGGCGGAGTTGGGCCTGCAATCGCGCTTGTTATTTAACATGACCTTGCTTTTTAAGACGGTGGAGGGGAGATAGGACCAATAAGAAGGACATGGTGGCAGCCCTGAGTGTGACCGTAACCTGCAGAAAACCATCGGAAAGCTCAATATGAATTGTTGAACATCTCTGAATTAATGCCATTTTTGAAGTAGACAGAAGACGAGCCATAGCAAAGTTTTCAATTTGTTCCTTGAAGGCACTCCCCCTAAGCGAATGAGCGAGCGGGGGGGGGGTGGAGAAGGTGCGGCTATTAATACCATTGTTCTTCCTACTTTGTGCACCCATTCTACTGACTATAAGGCGGCAATGTGGAGGGCACCCACTGAGTACGGCGCATTAGTTGACTGTCCCCCCTATGCGATCAGCGCATTTGAAGCGATACACCGCATCGACTCACCAACTGTCTAATTCCTTCGTAAGTAAAGAACTGCATCCGACCAACTCTTTTTCCACTTCAGATGTAAAGAAGTGACTTTCAACACTGATAGGCACAATTGGGTACGGGCTCCGCCCCAGAAGACCGGTGTCGACACACTCCAGTTACTCACATAATGTAAGGCCGCGACGCGAAGCAGCACAATCTACTCTGGACGAGCCTCTGAATATTGACTAATTTTGCTGATATGTGGTGATCTGGAATTATTTGAAAACAGTATTCGTAACTCGAAAGTGATAGTCTTCAAACATACTCTAGTTACTGGCCTACAGAAATTATTCTCAAAGGAAATATGAAATTATTTCCCATTTTATAACTTTCGTCTTTTTTTTCAGAGTCGTTTTGCACGTACAATCCAGTGGAGCCAGAATGAAGACGAACCATCGCCTTCGACGGACAAAACCTTATCTGAAAGATCTAAGCGAGCCTGACAGAACCTCATTCCACCCAACGCCTCCAAAATCTCGTCTAAAGCAATTTATAAAAACTTCAGAAGGTCCTCATAACCATGTGGTTAACCAAAACGATTCTGCGACCCGTTTTGAGAAATGTGCCATTAGTGTGTCCATGCCGGAAAACAGCGAAGTGGGCACATTGGTGACCACTTTGAAGGTGCTGAACAGGAAAAAGGTGAACGTTTTCATTCTTTTGAAATTGTCAACATTCGACAATCACATCCTTTTCAGTGGACGATAATTGATATGGTGGATCCCGATGGGACCTTTGAGATACGACAAAAAACTGGAGAGGTGATCATTCGCGATAACCGGATTATGGATCGTGAACTGTTCACCAATCTTGAACTCGTTGCTGAAATTCATGTGAGTTTGGGGGGAAGGGGGGGGGCGAGGGAAAGGTTCGCCTTCAATAATTTGATTATTTGAGGGTTCATCTCACATGACGAAGTGCGCTCGAACTCGTGTCAACGTGGAGCTGCTCGATCAAAACGACAATCGTCCCACTTTTGAAAAAGAAAAGTATGTGGTACTGCCAATGTCATTGCTCGGCACTATTTCAGAAGCATGGGGCATTTTTGTGCCAACTGCACCTGCAACTAAGGTGAACCACTAAGGAGCTCATTCTACTGGTCTCAAGCGAAAATCCTCATCCCCGGCATTGTCGCTGAGGCAAGTTGGCTTGGTGGGGGCACCGAATGGTACTCAGTCAAGCATGTGCAGGCTCCCTTGTAAAGACCTGTAAATTCCTGTGACCTAAAATGATCACTCCAGTTTCACAGCTTTGCAGAGTTGACAGATCTGACCTAAGTGAGACCTTTTACTTAAAGGCATATAGCATGGTATTCGGGTTCAAATGGTAGTAGGGGTGCTAAACACTGTGAAAGCGGCGTAAAAGCGTGAAGTAAACAAAAAACCTGCAAAAAAGCCTTGTTATACACGACTCAGAAAGCAATTCTGGACGAGTTTCCCGTTGGCATAGTGCCAATCACCGCTATCACCGTATATGTACTCATGTATCCATGAAGCATCGCAGCCGCTTCATATCAATCCCAGTGTGTAAGCGGTCGTAAAGCATGAAGTTAACAAAAAACCTGAAAAACGCTTCTGTTAATACACGACCGAGAAAGCCAACAAATTCTGGACGAGTTCCCGTTGACATAGTTGCGGCAATCACGCTATCACCGTATACAGGGGGGGGAGGCAAAAAAAAGTCATTCCGGCCGAGTCACATATGAGCGAAGTTTTCGCAGCCCAGACAGAGGAAGTGGATATGAGTACCAGGGCGGAAGATACCCAAGATCTTCCTCTATAAGCAGGAGCCGGCGCCATTCACCTTCATGTACACCAAAATATGAAGTCATCTCCAGTCGCGGCCTGAGTGGAGAACGCCTTTGGAATTCACGTGGCCTCCAAACAGCTGCGGAACTTCTTGAATGGAATCACCCATGGATAGCTACCTGGAGACCAGTACTCTTGATCTGCAAGACCTCAAACATCGAGCAGCTCCGACAACGTCATTATGGTCCAGGAGCAATCGTCTTCCACCCCATTCACCAAGAAGGCGTGTTGATGAGTGTGGACCGGCCGTACCTGGAATGGGAAGACCGATATTTTCTTTGTAGACCCCGACTGAAGGTGAGCGCTGGCGGTTACATCAAGTAACTCGAGAAGGATATCCTCCCTACATGTGGTCGCCCGTACCTTCTTGGAGACCTTGTGCTGCTACAGGTTTGGGTGCCACCACATGTTAAATCGAGGTTTGCGAAAAATCCCGCCTAACTTCGACATGGGAAGGGCGTTTTCGTACCTGATTGAAGAGGTAATATGAATATGTCCCCTGACTGACCACTCAACCTTACTCATGTTCTCGGGCGCGGAGCCAACAAGGCGTGGTCTACAAAGTGGCGAGAGAAATCAACGATTCTCGTCAACTCGCGTACCCAACCTCACTTCACTCGCCGCGGCGAATCTCTCGATAAGCGCTCCTCCAGAAGCTGTGGCGGCAGCAACGTAATATAGTATTTAATGTGCTCTTTAATATGGTAGTAAAAATGTCCGATAAAAATTTAATAAAGTGTAACTTATAGCGCCTTGAAAGTCATGGAGGCAAAATGACTTTTTTTTGGCCCCCCCCCTGTATATGTACTCATGTATCATGAAGCATCGCAGCCACTTCATATCAATCCTTTTGCCTCATATGTACTTCGCAAATGAAGCTATTGGGCATCAGGCACGGTCGTCCATGTAGTGGCCGGGCGTGGTTGGGGTCTGGGTCAGGTGAAAAGAATAGCAGACTTGATAGAACGCTACTGGGCGTACCTCGCTTTGTACAAAGCGTCACAAACAGTTGCTCAGGGGCGCCGAAATCTGATCCTGCTAGCCCGTGCAATTAATCTAACAGGAATTATGGTGCCTTGCCTTTATAAAGGCAGTTGGCACGATAAATCCCCCAAGGCGACTAGGATCAATACTCCTGGCAGGATAGAATTCCGCGACCCTGGGCAGGCGCTGCGCGGTTTCCCCGAGGAAAGGTGCCTTATAAGGGCCCTATCAAGCCACAACTTCACGAGGGGGGCGGGGGCGGGGGGGGGGACCCAAACGGCCTGCCACGCCCGCCCGCCACAAATGGACGACCGTTCCTGACCTCGTATTCATTCATTTGCTAAGCAAATTATGAAGCGAAGGGATTGGTATGAAGCGGCCGTGATGCTGCATGCATACATGGGTACATATATGCAGCCGTATCTTCGGTAGCGGTGATTGGTAAGATGCCTACGGGAAACTCGTCCGAAATCGATTTACAAGTCACTGAGAACGGAGGCTTTTCTTCGCAGGATTTTGACCGTTTCACTCCGTTCTTTCGCCATTTCCCCACTATAGCGCCCTACTAGCATTTTAGGCTAAGTAGGAAACCATCGTGCCAACTGCCTTTAAGTGCATTTTAACCAACAAAAGACACTAGCCAAAGTGCGAATGCCGCCTCCAAGCCAAATAGCGTCTGATTGTTTTTTTCGAGGCCCATACGATCTTTCTACACAGGAATTGCTCCCACCATCTCGCTATGCAGGGCTTTCACTTCAATTTGTTCATGTTACCACTAAGGTTTTTCTCGCTTTATTTTCTTGATAGAGATAGTTGATCACATAGTTATGCTGAGCTTGTGGGAAGCACTTTTACCAATTGCCTGCCAACAATCCGGCGGCCAGTGGGTGTCAGGAGGACGCGAAGTGATGCGTACAAAGCGGCTGTTTTATTCAAGTAAAAGTGGCTGGTTAGGTGGAACACAGCCCTTGTTGTAGAAAAATGTAAGTTCCGGGCTCATTCTCACGCCTCCGACATGTTCCGTCGGATGTGGAAGCGATAATCAACTCATTTTTACCCTCTACTGGCGTACTTTTGTTATATCCAGACCCTACAGGATACTTACACCACTCTGCCGCTATCGGGCGCAGTTTGTCGAGGGGGCGGGGGCATTCGGCTTTCATTAGTTTCTCTAGGTTCAGTATCTTCTGATACAAACAACTGGACACAACTCACTTGGCAAGGTCCATCGTTGAAAGTGAGTGTACAGATGCATTCCAGTTGGTGGGCCATTTGGGAGAATTGCTCGGGATGATTTGGTTAAGTTGAAGAGTGACTGGCCCGATAGATGCCAAGAGTAATGTGTGTCATTTAGATATGCGTTCCTGTTGTCGGACGAGTTTCCTCCAGAAGGAACTGTCGGTATCGTTCGAGCCAGGGATATCGATGAGGTGCGTTTATGCTGTTGTGATAGAAGTCTTGCCTAATAGCCTTCTGAATTTCGATGTTTGATATTATGATAACGCTGTTTTACACCGCAGTTCGCGCTTCGAAAGTTACCACAATGCTGAGTTATGGGCAAAAGGAGAAACCCAGGCGGGAGTCGAACCCACACCTCATGCTTTAAGTGTGCTATCCGTTACGTTACCAGAGCCGCTTTTACCCTCTCAGCTCAACGGCTTTACAGCTATCAGCACTCACACGTTTAACATGGGAGCTGGTGATAGGCTACGGCATAAAACCCGTTGAGCTGAGAGGGTAAAGAGCGGCCTTGGTGGCGTAACGGATAGCGCACTCGCCCGAAAAGCGTGAGATGCTGGTTCGACTTAACTCAGCATTCTTGTGGTAACATCTGAATTTCATTATTATATTTCTTCCTTCCTTTCTCCTATTATTATACTACCTTTCTGATATTCATATTCATTAGGGTGAAGCAGGGCACGTTTCGTACAGTCTTTTGAATACATCGGTGCCATTCGAGCTTCGAACAAAAGGAAAGGACGCTGAGATTGTAGCGACTTCGGACTTCGTCGGAACAGAGGAAACGTATCATCTGGTTGTCGAGGCTCGAGACAACGCTCCACCTTTTCTGTAGGTTTTTTTCCGGGAAAACCTTTCAAATTAATCGGCCCTTTCGAGGATAGCCTTTTTCTGCTCCGGAAAACAATGCAGGTGCATCTGATGTCGTTACCATAATAGGCAATTTCTTTTTCCAGAATATCTAGGTCAGCCGTTCCATAACCCTAAATGAGACGTATCTGGTTGAGTAAAATTTCTGAGCAGAATAATTCAATCTTTAGAATAGGCAGCGCATTCTACCAACACAGAATCTTGACATTGCGCTGTCTTATTAGTATTATTATTATATATACTGTAGGTTTTATATCATTTCTGTCGCCTGCATTCATTCATAGCTCCCCACTCTCTTAGATATTTCAATCGGTGTCCAATCTGTCCAATCCACTTACCCACTGGATTGCGGGTGCAACTTTTATTCTTGCTGCATTTCCACTCCAAACAGGGCACATCATCCGCTTTGTGGAAAGAGCAAATGCCGTCAAGAACAGATCCGTAGGGTCGCATCGTGTAATGTGTGAATTAAAGATGCTAGCTAACGACCCTCTTCCTCTCTAGAGGGGGGTCTTGTACGGCCCCTCCCACCTAAGTGGGCTCGTTGTGGTCTACGACCCCCCACACCCCTCCCCTTCCCAGCACCCGACACTACCAGTCCCCCCACATTCCCCAGCTTTTCCCCCCACCCCCAGACCTTTTTCCCGTCAAGCGGGGGGTGGGGGGGGGGGGAAGTACACAGAGTAAAGACGTAAAAACACGCGAACAGCTACGACGATGCGGAGCACACCACATTTTTCTCCCCTACGCGGCAAATTTCTCTCAAAAGCGCCCACTACGACCCCCCTCTCCCGATAACGACCATCTACGACCCCTCTAAGAACAATGAGCAAATACGACCACCATGTTTTTTGCAACAACACAAATACGACCGAGTCTTGGACAACGACCAAAATACGATCCGCCTAATGTTTTCACACAACGATGCTGTACCCTGGCCATCCCACCCCTCTCCCAAGTGAGTCTCGGTCCCGTTCCGAAAAAAGGAGCAGCGACCCGTAATCCGTGTATGAGCTCTGCCGTATAAGTGAGTAAATCGCGCAACAGACAGCCTTGCTTTTCCCGTCGCAGTTCTTTTAAGCAGTCTGGGATCGCTGAGATTCTGAAACTCTTCAGAATATGATAACTGTCGAGTGTTTCTAATAAGGGGAAGATGAATAGAACATGTCCCAGCAGTGGTTCTTCGGTCACGCGCCTCACGGCAGCCACACAATCCGAAGTAAAGCGATCGAGATGAAATCCGTAGTAAAATCGATCCAATTAAATCCGTAGTAAAATCAGCTGTAGAGCTTCTGTTGCTTTCTTAGTATACAGTCGGGCTGATGTCTGAAGATGCTCTCACTCTTATTCCAATTTTTACCACTACCCTCCTGACCCGTTCCGTGTACTTTTGAGCGGAAAAGTGACACGCTGCTGCAGCTGCAATCCCATTCACTTCATAATGGCAAGCACCAGGATCCAAAGGGGTGAATGTTCAGTCTGCCTTTCAGTATGCTTCCAGAGCACACATTGTCATCGAAATTTGATGAAACTAGTTCATTCGGCGTGGAATGGTCGCACTCCTCTATTGCGCCAAGCATTTGACCTCACTGGAAGAGATAACTCGTTGCGGAAATGTGACTTCCACATATTTCTTGCCTGCGCGATTTATGTATGTTGCCTGAGGAAGGTTCGTTGGAAAAGGGATTCCAAGACTTTCATTGATCTCGTTCAATCATGGTCTTTGATAAGTAGGTCTGGTGCGTTGCTTATTGAGCGCGCCTGCTAGCGATTGGATACGGCCCCCTCGCTGTGATTTCCATAAAGATGATATGCCCTGTTTCCAGGATCTTCTATCACTCTTTATCAATGTTATCCCTCTCTGTCAGTCAACTTAATACTCCTTCCATGGCCCTGAGTGTGCGACTGTAATCCCGATAGACCTAGCATGCTCATAGCTTCCCAACGTTGCTTACCAGTTATCAGTGCGTATCAACTTCTATCATCTGCCGCCAAGGTCACCGTTCCGCTCCTCATAATGATCTCCCGCTCCTCATAGTAATCGTAACGAACCGGGGCTTCACAGTGACTATGTGATTACAGTCTTGTTTGCTGTGGACGCTGGGGCGTTTTAGGGAGGCTGAGTTTAACGAAGCGCCAGCCTGTTCTCTATCAACCGTGGAAGGTGGCACACGACCAGAAACACTCTGGCGCTGCGCTGAATCCAGCCCTTTCGACAGCGAACAATACTGTATCTATTTCGTGAAAGTGCACATGATTAGATTTCTTTGTTCGAGATAGAATACAGAATATGCTCTTTTTCTGTTTAGGTCGTCCGAAATCCCGGTCGACATCCTGGTTCCGAAGTCCATGTTGAAGCCAGCAACGAATAAGACGGAGAAGTCGAAGATTAGCGGTGTCGTCTCAGCAACTCTGGAGCCAACGCTGCTGCTGCAAGGAATCACCAAGGGTGAAAGAATTATCTCCAAATTCAGCCTATCCACTTCGAAAAGACCGTCAACAACGTCCCGGCCACGTACTACAACCTCAACCACTCGAAGGGTCACACCGACAAGGGGTACTACATCTCGCACAATGCTCGTGACTGCGAAACAGGTGCATCCCACCCTCATAACTGAGGAGCAAATCAGCTCAGAGGTGGAGACGACAAGCTCGTCTGTAGACTCAGAAGAAACCGAAGAAGATTCAGGCGAAGATGTCTCCTTAGAAGAGGCGTTAACGGAAACGGCGTCAACGGAAATGGCAGCTACGGCCAATAGTGCCAAGGTTTGCGCTTTACAAAAATTTTCTTTCGAAAGTAAACTTCTTATATGAGCCTGTTCAGAAAACGTTCAATTTCACCCAACCGTCTTACTATTACGAAGTGTTCGGAACGCCTCAGGAAGGTGATATCTTGGGTAAAGTGGAAGCACGACCGAACTCTCAGTTCTACGCTATTGACCGCAAAGTAAGGCAGTATGGTTTACTTACAAATTTCACTAACTTGTTATAGTCAATCAACTCGCTGCGAGCGCGGGTCCAGTCCGTATAAGCGTATGGCAGACTCCAGAGTTGTATAAGCTTTTGAATGCGCATTTACGGCATGATTGTGACATGAGGTAGTACATATAGTAAAGGTGAAATCTGTCACGAAATTCAACATATTGCACCGATCAGAGCACGTCCTGCGGATGGTGAACACCACCCCCCCCCCCCTCACCTCCGAATTTCCTCCTCTAACATGTCTTCTCCCATCTACCTTCCATCTTACTAACTTTTCCCTTCTTCTTACCACTTCTAATCACTTTTCTCAAATTGCCGGTTTTTTCCTCAAAATTTTGCGGTGGAGCCAAGCGGTGTGAGGCAGGAGGAGGTCGTCCTCAAGCAAACACTGATTTCAACTATCGGAGTAAGTAGTTGTATAAGGCTTTCGACCGCGGCGCCACCTACGCCAACTAGGAGGGGGAGGAGGCAAACACGGTACGACATGCCCTAATATTAATACTGGGTCAATGAAATCACCTTCG